CAAGCATTCCAGTGTTAATACTATTGTAATTATTCTGCACTATAGCCTATTTATTGCCTTACCTCCATAACTTGCTACATTTGCACACACTGTATATATATTTTCTGTTGTATTTCTGACTTTATGTTTTTTACCCCATATGTAACTCTGTGTTGTTTTTATTGCACTACTTTGCTTTATCTTGGCCAGGTCGCAGTTGTAAATGAGAACCTGTTCTCAACTGGCTTACCTGGTTAAAAAGGGTGAAATAAAAAAATAAAAAATAAAAATAAAAGCTAGGTTGTCCCTCAGGGAGTAGGCTGGGTGATGGTAGCTAGGTTGTCCCTCAGGGAGTAGGCTGGGTGATGGTAGCTAGGTTGTCCCTCAGGGAGTAGGCTGGGTGATGGTAGCTAGGTTGTCCCTCAGGGAGTAGGCTGGGTGATGGTAGCTAGGTTGTACTTCAGGGAGTAGGCTGGGTGATGGTAGCTAGGTTGTCCCTCAGGGAGTAGGCTGGGTGATGGTAGCTAGGTTGTCCCTCAGGGAGTAGGCTGGGTGATGGTAGCTAGGTTGTCCCTCAGGGAGTAGGCTGGGTGATGGTAGCTAGGTTGTCCCTCAGGGAGTAGGCTGGGTGATGGTAGCTAGGTTGTCCCTCAGGGAGTAGGCTGGGTGATGATAGCTAGGTTGTCCCTCAGGGAGTAGGCTGGGTGATGGTAGCTAGGTTGTTGGGGTTCCAGGAGGGGTTGATGGGATGTTGATTGGGGGTTGATGGGATGTTGATGGATAGATAATAGATAATAAACAGTGAGTAGCAGCAGTGTAAAAACAAAGGGTAAATAGTCCAGGTGGCCATTTTATTAATTGATCAGCAGTCTTATGGCTTGGGGGTAGAAGCTGTCAAGGAGCCTTTTGGACCTAGACTTGGCGCTCCGGTACCGCTTGCCGTGTGGTAGCAGAGAGAACAGTCTATGACATGGAGTCTTTGATAATTATAGAGGTCCTGGATTGCAGGAAGCTTGGCCCCAGTGATGTACTGGGCCGTACGCACTAACCTATGTAGCGACTTACAGTCGGATGCCGAGCAGTTGCCATGTCAGGCGGCGATGCAACTGGTCAGGATGCTCTCGATGGTGCAGCTGTGGTCCTTTTTAAGGATCTGGGGACCCATGCCAAGTCTTTTCAGTCTCCTGAGGGGGAAAAGGTGTTGTCGTGCCCTCTTCACGACTGTGTTAGGAACATGATAGTTTGTTTGTGATGTAGAGGAACTAGAAGCTCTCCACAATAGGGAGTAAGTGAGACAAAGGAATTAAAAACAGAGTGAAAAAACAGGAAAAACCTTCCTCTGTGGAAAAAGCATAAATCGATTATTACTAACAACTACATTATTTACAGATTACAGATCCGTCAAAGTGGCTCAATAGCCTTTCATATTGCTACACCACATAACAAACCTTCACCAGTCTCCAATGACAGGTACAGGAAGTGAACTAGAACAGCTTCCCTTTGTTTCTCTATTCTCTGAGTGAAGGATTGGCTCCCTACCCCACATCCCCCCTGGCCCTGGGTGGGTCAGCATGTAACTAATCTCCTTCCTCTAATAGACTGGCTTAAGGTGGACTCCATTAGAGTGTGAGGATTTGACATCTCTACGACTGACAGTGTTTGTGTTTGGGACCAATGTGTACTCCAGAGTGTGTGTTGCCATTATAGCCCGGGCAGTCGTGTTTAGTGAAGGTGTGACAGAGTTGAATCCACCACTTCACAACCGGCATGTTTACTGTTTGATCCTCAGCCCTGAGTAAATACAAAGAGAGGGGGGGTCTGCAAAACACACACTTCTACAGGCACACACACACACACGCGCACGTGCACACGCACGTGCCAGCACACACAAAGTGATAGGCAAAGCCCCCGCCTACACCATTGCGTTGCACACGCTGATACACATAGAGGCACACACATGCAAAAACGCATGCACATGATCCAAATACATTTCACACACAGTGGCCCCAACCCCATCACACTGACTTATAACAGACTTTGTAACATTCAGTGCCACGTTCCCTGAAAATCAGTCATCCAGCCCACTGTAAGCAGTTTATACTTGGTCATGCTGAATTTACATTAGAGGGCAGCTGTGTTGTTAGGTCATCATTACTTGGATGCTCCTAATGAACACATCTGTCTATGCAGGGAATGGAGGGGGGCTGGACAAATGAGAGACTGATTGGGACCAGAAGCAGGCCTTTGGTCAGATCCAGGACCAGTAACCATGTGATTACAGGAACAGACCTAGATTTAAAACTATTGATTAATAATGCTGATGAAGTGAGGTCAAAAGGCAGGATGGATTGTAAGGCATCAACGGTGGACTATCCAAAGCGTTACCCAATGCGTTTGACAGTTTTGCTAAGGTGGCAATTCTTCCACATAATGACCCTCTCTAGCAGGAGCCATGTGTTAAGTACTTCTGATGCTGATTTGATGAAGTGTCGCCACAACATTTTAGAACCTCTATGACATCACCTCATCTCTCACACAAGCAATGGGAACCACTTCATCGCCTAGCCATGGGACCGGTAGGACCGGAAGCACCGTAACACCGTGAGACATTCCATATCTCTGTCCTCTCACAATCAAGCTGACGTTACATTAATGAAGAGCAGTACATGTCCTTTCTGAGTTCCAGCGTAAATAGCAACGGTTGTTGGAGTGGAAGGGAACTGAGGAAACACAGAGATTAGACATAGCTGGTGTACAGAGGGCAGGGCAGTGGCTCCAGCAGAACTATGGGTAAAGGCTCCAGCAGAACTATGGGTAAAGGTTCCAGCAGAACTATGGGTAAAGGTTCCAGCAGAACTATGGTAAAGGCTCCAGCAGAACTATGGTAAAGGTTCCAGCAGAACTATGGGTAAAGGCTCCAGCAGAACTATGGGTAAAGGTTCCAGCAGAACTATGGTAAAGGTTCCAGCAGAACTATGGGTAAAGGTTCCAGCAGAACTATGGTAAAGGATCCAGCAGAACTATGGGTAAAGGTTCCAGCAGAACTCTGGGTAAAGGTTCCAACAGAACTATGGGTAAAGGTTCCAGCAGAACTATGGGTAAAGGTTCCAACAGAACTATGGGTAAAAATTCCAGCAAAACTATGGGTAAAGGCTCCAGCAGAACTATGGGTAAAGGTTCCAGCAGAACTATGGTAAAGGTTCCAGCAGAACTATGGGTAAAGGCTCCAGCAGAACTGTGGGTAAAGGTTCCAGCAGAACTATGGTAAAGGTTCCAGCAGAACTATGGGTAAAGGCTCCAGCAGAACTATGGGTAAAGGTTCCAGCAGAACTATGGTAAAGATTCCAGCAGAACTATGGGTAAAGGTTCCAGCAGAACTATGGTAAAGGCTCCAGCAGAACTATGGGTAAAGGTTCCAGCAGAACTATGGGTAAAGGCTCCAGCAGAACTATGGGTAAAGGTTCCAGTAGAACTATGGTAAAGGTTCCAGCAGAACTATGGGTAAAGGTTCCAGCAGAACTATGGTAAAGGTTCCAGCAGAACTATGGGTAAAGGCTCCAGCAGAACTGTGGGTAAAGGTTCCAGCAGAACTATGGTAAAGGTTCCAGCAGAACTATGGGTAAAGGCTCCAGCAGAACTATGGGTAAAGGTTCCAGCAGAACTATGGTAAAGATTCCAGCAGAACTATGGGTAAAGGTTCCAGCAGAACTATGGTAAAGGCTCCAGCAGAACTATGGGTAAAGGTTCCAGCAGAACTATGGGTAAAGGCTCCAGCAGAACTATGGGTAAAGGTTCCAGTAGAACTATGGTAAAGGTTCCAGCAGAACTATGGGTAAAGGTTCTAGCAGAACTATGGCAAAGGTTCCATCAGAACTATGGGTAAAGGCGCCAACAGAACTATGGGTAAAGGTGCCAACAGAACTATGGGTAAAGACTCTAGCAGAACTATGGGTAAAGGCTCTAGCAGAACTATGGTAAAGGTTCCAGCAGAACTATGGGTAAAGGTTCCAACATAACTATGGGTAAAGGTTCCAGCAGAACTATGGGTAAAGGTTACAGCAGAACTATGGGTAAAGGTTCCAGCAGAACTATGGGTAAAGGTTCCAGCAGAACTATGGGTAAAGGTTCCAGCAGAACTATGGATAAAGGCTCCAGCAGAACTATGGGTAAAGGTTCCAGCAGAACCTTTGGGTAAAGGTTCCAGCAGAACTATGGTAAAGGTTCCAGCAGAACTATGGGTAAAGGTTCCAGCAGAACTCTGGGTAAAGGCTCCAGCAGAACTATGGGTAAAGGTTCCAGCAGAACTATGGTAAAGGTTCCAGGAGAACTATGGGTAAAGGCTCCAGCAGAACAATGGGTAAAGGTTCCAGCAGAACTATGGGTAAAGGTTCCAGCAGAACTATGGGTAAAGGTTCCAGCGGAACTATGGGTAAAGGCTCCAGCAGAACTATGGGTAAAGGTTCCAGCAGAACTATGGTAAAGGTTCCAGCAGAACTATGGGTAAAGGTTCCAGCAGAACTATGGTAAAGCCTCCAGCAGAACTATGGGTAAAGGTTCCAGCAGAACTATGGGTAAAGGCTCCAGCAGAACTATGGGTAAAGGTTCCAGTAGAACTATGGTAAAGGTTCCAGCAGAACTATGGGTAAAGGTTCTAGCAGAACTATGGTAAAGGTTCCATCAGAACTATGGGTAAAGGCGCCAACAGAACTATGGGTAAAGGCGCCAACAGAACTATGGGTAATGACTCTAGCAGAACTATGGGTAAAGGCTCCAGCAGAACTATGGTAAATGTTCCAGCAGACCTATGGGTAAAGGTTCCAACAGAACTATGGGTAAAGGTTCCAGCAGAACTATGGGTAAAGGTTCCAACAGAACTATGGGTAAATGTTCCAGCAGAACTTTGAAAAAAGGTTACAGCAGAACTATGGGTAAAGGTTCCAGCAGAACTATGGATAAAAGCTCCAGCAGAACTATGGGTAAAGGTTACAGCAGAACTATGGGTAAAAGGTTCCAGCAGAACTATGGGTAAAGGTTCCAGCAAAACTATGGGTAAAGGTTCCAACAGCACTTTGGATAAAGGTTCCAACAGAACTATGGGTCAAGGTTCCAGCAGAACTATGGGTAAAGGCTCCAGCAGAACAATGGGTAAAGGCTCCAGCAGAACTATGGGTAAAGGTTCCAGAAGAACTATGGGTAAAGGCGCCAACAGAACTATGGGTAAAGGCGCCAACAGAACTATGGGTAAAGGCTCCAGCAGAACTATGGGTAAAGGTTCCAGCAGAACTATGGGTAAAGGTTCCAGCAGAACTATGGGTAAAGGTTCCAGCAGAACTATGGGTAAAGGCTCCAGCAGAACCATAGGTAAAGGTTCCAGCAGAACTATGGTAAATGTTCCAGCAGAACTATGGTAAAGGTTCCAGCAGAACTATGGGTAAAGGTTCCAGCAGAACTATGGGTAAAGGTTCAAGCAGAACTATGGGTAAAGGTTCCAGCAGAACTACGCGTAAAGGTTCCAGCAGAACTATGGGTAAAGGTTCCAGCAGAACTATGGGTAAAGGTTCCAGCAGAACTATGGGTAAAGGCTCCAGCAGAACTATGGTAAATGTTCCAGCAGACCTATGGGTAAAGGTTCCAACAGAACTATGGGTAAAGGTTCCAGCAGAACTATGGGTAAAGGTTCCAACAGAACTATGGGTAAATGTTCCAGCAGAACTTTGAAAAAAGGTTACAGCAGAACTATGGGTAAAGGTTCCAGCAGAACTATGGATAAAAGCTCCAGCAGAACTATGGGTAAAGGTTACAGCAGAACTATGGGTAAAAGGTTCCAGCAGAACTATGGGTAAAGGTTCCAGCAGAACTATGGGTAAAGGTTCCAACAGCACTTTGGATAAAGGTTCCAACAGAACTATGGGTAAAGGTTCCAGCAGAACTATGGGTAAAGGTTACAGCAGAACTATGGGTAAAAGGTTCCAGCAGAACTATGGGTAAAGGTTCCAGCAGAACTATGGGTAAAGGTTCCAGCAGAAATATGGGTAAAGGTTCCAGCAGATCTATGGTAAAGGTTCCAGCAGAACAATGGGTAAAGGCTCCAGCAGAACTATGGGTAAAGGTTCCAGAAGAACTATGGGTAAAGGCGCCAACAGAACTATGGGTAAAGGCGCCAACAGAACTATGGGTAAAGGCTCCAGCAGAACTATGGGTAAAGGTTCCAGCAGAACTATGGGTAAAGGTTCCAGCAGAACTATAGGTAAAGGTTCCAGCAGAACTATGGGTAAAGGCTCCAGCAGAACCATAGGTAAAGGTTCCAGAAGAACTATGGGTAAAGGCGCCAACAGAACTATGGGTAAAGGCGCCAACAGAACTATGGGTAAAGGCTCCAGCAGAACTATGGGTAAAGGTTCCAGCAGAACTATGGGTAAAGGTTCCAGCAGAACTATAGGTAAAGGTTCCAGCAGAACTATGGTAAATGTTCCAGCAGAACTATGGTAAAGGTTCCAGCAGAACTATGGGTAAAGGTTCCAGCAGAACTATGGGTAAAGGTTCCAGCAGAACTATGGGTAAAGGTTCCAGCAGAACTACGCGTAAAGGTTCCAGCAGAACTATGGGTAAAGGTTCCAGCAGAACTATGGGTAAAGGTTCCAGCAGAACTATGGGTAAAGGCTCCAGCAGAACTCTGGGTAAAGGCTCCAGCAGAACTATGGGTAAAGGCTCCAGCAGAACTATGGTAAAGGTTCCAGCAGAACTATGTGTAAAGGTTCCAGCAGAACTATGGGTAAAGGCTCCAGCAGAACTCTGGGTAAAGGTTCCAGCAGAACTCTGGGTAAAGGTTCCAGCAGAAATATGGGTAAAGGTTCCAGCAGAACTATGGTAAAGGTTACAGCAGAACAATGGGTAAAGGCTCCAGCAGAACTATGGGTAAAGGTTCCAGCAGAACTATGGGTAAAGGCGCCAACAGAACTATGGGTAAAGGCGCCAACAGAACTATGGGTAAAGGCTCCAGCAGAACTATGGGTAAAGGTTTCCAGCAGAACTATGGGTAAAGGTTCCAGCAGAACTATGGGTAAAGGTTCCAGCAGAACTATGGGTAAAGGCTCCAGCAGAACCATAGGTAAAGGTTCCAGCAGAACTATGGTAAATGTTCCAGCAGAACTATGGTAAAGGTTCCAGCAGAACTATGGTAAAGGTTCCAGCAGAACTATGGTAAAGGTTCCAGCAGAACTATGGTAAAGGTTCCAGCAGAACTATGGGTAAAGGTTCCAGCAGAACTATGGGTAAAGGTTCCAGCAGAACTACGCGTAAAGGTTCCAGCAGAACTATGGGTAAAGGTTCCAGCAGAACTATGGTTAAAGGTTCCAGCAGAACTATGGGTAAAGGTTCCAGCAGAACTCTGGGTAAAGGCTCCAGCAGAACTATGGGTAAAGGCTCCAGCAGAACTATGGTAAAGGTTCCAGCAGAACTATGGGTAAAGGCTCCAGCAGAACTATGGGTAAAGGTTCCAGCAGAACTATGGTAAAGGTTCCAGCAAAACTATGGGTAAAGGCTCCAGCAGAACTATGGTAAAGGATCCAGCAGAACTATGGGTAAAAGTTCCAGCAGAACTATGGGTAAAGGTTCCAGCAGAACTATGGGTAAAGGCTCCAGCAGAACTATGGGTAAAGGCTCCAGCAGAACTCTGTTAAAGTCTCATTCAGATCTTTGGGTAAAGGTTCCGGCAGAACTATGGTTAAGGTTCCAGCAGAACTATGGGTAAAGGCTCCAGCAGAACTATGGGTAAAGGCTCCAACATAACTATGGGTAAAGGCTCCAGCAGAACCATGGGTAAAGGTTCCGGTCCAGGAAGGATAGGAGGGAAGGATGTCCCCTACTACAGTAAACTGTTATCACCATGACATTAGCTATAGCAGTGCTTCAGTATTAATGTGGTAAACATTGAAGGTAATACGGCTGCCAAATAAAGACACGGACTAGCCTACCAGTCATCAATAGCTAGTGACTCCAGCACTAAACGCTAGCCTACCAGTCATCAATAGCTAGTGACTCCAGCACTAAACGCTAGCCTACCAGTCATCAATAGCTAGTGACTCCAGCACTAAACGCTAGCCTACCAGTCATCAATATCTAGTGACTCCAGCACTAAACGCTAGCCTACCAGTCATCAATATCTAGTGACTCCAGAACTAAACGCTAGCCTACCAGTCATCAATAGCTAGTGACTCCAGAACTAAACGCTAGCCTACCAGTCATCAATAGCTAGTGACTACAGCACTAAACGCTAGCCTACCAGTCATCAATAGCTAGTGACTACAGCACTAAACGCTAGCCTACCAGTCATCAATAGCTAGTGACTACAGCACTAAACGCTAGCCTGCCAGTCATCAATAGCTAGTGACTCCAGCACTAAACGCTAGCCTACCAGTCATCAATAGCTAGTGACTACAGCACTAAACGCTAGCCTACCAGTCATCAATAGCTAGTGACTCCAGCACTAAACGCTAGCCTACCAGTCATCAATAGCTAGTGACTACAGCACTAAACGCTAATCCTCTGATGCAGTTACAGTGGGGGAAAAAAGTATTTAGTCAGCCACCAATTGTGCAAGTTCTCCCACTTAAAAAGATGAGAGAGGCCTGTAATTTTCATCATAGGTACACGTCAACTATGACAGACAAATTGAGAAAAAAAATTCTCCAGAAAATCACATTGTTGGATTTTTAATGAATTTATTTGCTAATTATGGTGGAAAATAAGTATTTGGTCACCTACAAACAAGCAAGATTTCTGGCTCTCACAGACCTGTAACTTCTAATTTAAGAGGCTCCTCTGTCCTCCACTCGTTACCTGTATTAATGGCATCTGTTTGAACTTGTTATCAGTATAAAAGACACCTGTCCACAACCTCAAACAGTCACACTCCAAACTCCACTATGGCCAAGACCAAAGAGCTGTCAAAGGACACCAGAAACAAAATTGTAGACCTGCACCAGGCTGGGAAGACTGAATCTGCAATAGGTAAGCAGCTTGGTTTGAAGAAATCAACTGTCGGAGCAATTATTAGGAAATGGAAGACATACAAGACCACTGATAATCTCCCTCGATCTGGGGCTCCACGCAAGATCTCACCCCGTGGGGTCAAAATGATCACAAGAACGGTGAGCAAAAATCCCAGAACCACACGGGGGGACCTAGTGAATGACCTGCAGAGAGCTGGGACGAAAGTAACAAAGCCTACCATCAGTAGCACACTACGCCGCCAGGGACTCAAATCCTGCAGTGCCAGACGTGTCCCCCTGCTTAAGCCAGTACATGTCCAGGCCCGTCTGAAGTTTGCTAGAGTGCATTTGGATGATCCAGAAGAGGATTGGGAGAATGTCATATGGTCAGATGAAACCAAAATATAACTTTTTGGTAAAAACTCAACTCGTCGTGTTTGGAGGACAAAGAATGCTGAGTTGCATCCAAAGAACACCATACCTACTGTGAAGCATGGGGGTGGAAACATCATGCTTTGGGGCTGTTTTTCTGCAAAGGGACCAGGACGACTGATCCGTGTAAAGGAAAGAATGAATGGGGCCATGTATCGTGAGATTTTGAGTGAAAACCTCCTTCCATCAGCAAGGGCATTGAAGATGAAACGTGGCTGGGTCTATCAGCATGACAATGATCCCAAACACACCGCCCGGGCAACGAAGGAGTGGCTTCGTAAGAAGCATTTCAAGGTCCTGGAGTGGCCTAGCCAGTCTCCAGATCTCAACCCCATAGAAAATCTTTGGAGGGAGTTGAAAGTCAGTGTTGCCCAGCGACAGCCCCAAAACATCACTGCTCTAGAGGAGATCTGCATGGAGGAATGGGCCAAAATACCAGCAACAGTGTGTGAAAACCTTGTGAAGACTTACAGAAAACGTTTGACCTGTGTCATTGCCAACAAAGGGTATATAACAAAGTATTGAGAAACTTTTGTTATTGACCAAATACTTATTTTCCACCATAATTTGCAAATAAATTCATTAAAAATCCTACAATGTGATTTTCCTCATTTTGTCTGTCATAGTTGAGGTGTACCTATGATGAAAATTACAGGCCTCTCTCATCTTTTTAAGTGGGAGAACTTGCACAATTGGTGGCTGACTAAATACTTTTTTTCCCCACTGTACATGAACACAAGCCATCCCTGATAACCCTCCACTACAAGCCATCCCTGATAACCCTCCACTACAAGCCATCCCATATAACCCTCCACTACAAGCCATCCCATATAACCCTCCACTACAAGCCTTCCCTTATAACCCTCCACTACAAACCATCCCTGATAACCCTTCACTCTCTCTGATGTGATATCGTTATCTATCATTTACCTGGCCAGCTGCTGGCCCTGTACCAGTACAGTCGGGAGTGCTCTGGAGCAGGGATGACGTGGCTCTGCCTGGGGGCCATGGAACTCATATTCTCCCTGTCAGCTGGATCAGACTGTTTACATGTGGTATTAGGGAAAGATCCAGGCAATCGATCTCAGCCCTGGCCCCGGCTAACAGAGAATACATGACTAATCGATAGAACTAGCACCAGGAGAACACTCTCCTCTCCTTTCCATCGTGTGGATTCGATCATGGGAATCCGCTGACATGGCTGTTAGCCTCTCTGAGTCATGATTAACCTTCAGAGAGGAGAGGAGGAGAGGGAAGAGGAGAGAGGGATAGAGGGACAGAGGAGGAGAGGAGGAGAGAGGGGGAGAGGGAAGAAGGGATGGAAGCAGAGATGAGGAGAGAGGAGGAGAGAGGGACAGAGGGAGAGGAGGAGAGAGAAGAAGAGAGAGGTGGAGAGGGACAGAGGGATGTTAGGGGGGGAGAGGAGGAGAGAGGGAGAGAGGGGGACAGAGGAGGAGAGAGGGGGAGAGGGACAGAGGAAGAGGAGGAGAGAGGAGGCGAGGGACAGAGGGAGAGGAGGAAGGAGGGGGAAAGGGACAGAGGGAGAGGAGGAGAGGGACAGAGAGA